ATGCCCTCCAAGTACTGACGTCCCCCACCAGTTGTTATGTCCAGGTTGATGAGGTTCTCGACCTGCACGTCCGAGGCCAAGAAGTTTGACCCGGCCACAACAGCGGGAATGGCGAAGGCCCCGCAACCCGACTGCTCCAACGACAGTTGCTTCGGACGTTTGGACGAGGAGCTCGGACGTTCCGGCTCGATATTCTGTTCAGCAACACGCGTCCGAGATGTACTCCCCCTCTTCTTGGGGTCGGCCAGGGGAATGAGTACTTGTGAGGGTTTATCCCGCTGTACCCTGAGGGCTGACCTAGCCGGCGGTGCTTTCCCGCTCTCCTTCGCTTCCTTCGCCCTCTTGGCAAGCATCGCAGTCACGTCTAACTTGCCTCCGGCCATCAATCCTACAACAAAGCAAGTTTTAACATCAATTTAAACTGATTAAGCAACCGAACCCTATTACACATACCTAGCAAGACCGACTCAAAATGAGACGTCTCAAAGATTTCCAATAGGTCTCGGACAGGAAGCTCTTTCGGCAGTTGATCTAACAAACCCACGATCTCCTTGTCCTCGGCAGGGAGCTTCGAGGCAGGGAACGCCTCAAAGCGCGTCGGACGCCTCGTCCAGTAGAAGGGAAACAGCGGGGTGTCTTCTCGGTCATAAAAGCAGTCCCACATATCCGACCCCCAACGAACCTTGAAAAATCCACTTTTAAATCCTTTATACGAAGAGGTGAAGGCCCGTAGAAATCCACGTTTTGGCACCCGGGCTAAAGAAACCCACTTTACCGGTTTGCTCGGGCGGCAAGTATAATAGTAAAGGAAAGCGAGCGACCGAGGCGTTAGGCCGAGGCAAAAACACAAGTTCCGAAATGCTTGCATGGCCGCCCAAGCATTAGGGTGCAGTTGTGTCGGCGCCACATTTAGTGTTCGGAGAACCCCCATCTCAAAATCGTCAAAGGGCAACTCTATGCCGAGGTCCTCGAACCAACAAATGTACGCGTAGAAGTAGTCTTCTTCATTAGGACCCGCCTCCAAGAACACAAAATCGGTGTCCGGCCCATCGTCTTCGCACGCCTCGGCCAGCAATGGAAACTCCTCGCCCCCACCCCCGAAACACTTCTCGGAAGAGATGAAGGTGTCCAACAGGCCTTGGTCGGACAACTTCGAAAAGTATATATCGACCTCTCCGTCCACCCACTCATATCCCGGCATCTCCATGGTGCCATAGTCAACCTTTGGCTTAGTCCGGACGGTCCGACCTGCCGCAGCCTTGCCTCGTTTTAGACATGCTGCATGCCATGCCATGCCATGCAGTGCAGAAGATATATATTAGTTGTGATTTTGAAGATACTTATTAACTGTGCATGCTTGCTTGCCAAGTGGTGAGAGCTTTAGATTCCTTAGATGAGTTTACGGATCTCAACCATGGCATGAAACCAGGACAGAGTTTGGTTTTCGATTCTGCACAGCAATCTGCACAAATCAGAATGTTTAGAAGGATGGCATTTGGGAGCCAAGATAATTCATCTTTCTTCAATGAGTCTCAGAGTAGCTGGAGGAGTAGAGATCACGACTCAACAACTAAATTCTCACAAAATAAATCTGGGCCTTGGAACGTTTGAGTTAGATGACTCACTTGCCAATGCATTTCCTTTGTTGTAAATCTCATTTTCCTAACATATTTTACTTCCTATGCTTTATATTCTTTGTAAATTAGGTTATTCGTTACATAACGCAATGTATTTATACCATCTATGAGTTGTGACCGGCTGATTTGAATTCAACACTGCCCTTAAAATCACATTTTATTCTGAATATGCCTCTATGAAACAATATAACTTAATAATAAATTAATATAATGTGATACAAATGCACAAGTATTAGCAATATACTTTCTGTAACATTTTCTTTTTAACACTTTAATATCAATTCAAATTTATTGAATATTACAAACTTAAGGATGGAAAACTGTGCTTGAGTCTTATAAATAATTGCAAAAAATATTTTTAATGGAAAGGATAAAATCTCACATAAATGGGGATGGGAATAGGGTTGGAATTTAACGGCAAAATTCAATGGAGATGTAGATGTGATATAAGAACTATAGTATTTATCCTGTTGTCTAACATTTATTTATATATAATTAATTATAAAAAATAATTTTATATTATTATGTAAATTCTTAACTTAGAATTCTAAATTGTAATAGTGTAGTTATTCCACCAGAGTTGTTGTATTTTAATTTTTAGTTATTACTTTAGTTGGTTTAATTCTTAATCTCATTATATTTTAGTTTCTTTATGTATTATTAGACCAAAATAAAATTTAAACATAATAGATAAATATTTATACAATATCCCATGATAATGAGATTAATAATTAGCATGTATAATATATGCGTGTGTAATATTTATATTTAATATATAATTACTAATAATAAGTTTTTAAATAAATATTTAATTTTAAATTTTAAAAGTTTTACTTATAAAACAGTAAAGTTAATGTTACAAATATTCACCAACATAATTTTATTTTTTATTTTATATTTTCACTGGAAGTACCGAAAATTTCTTTGCTAAGTCAAAGCCTTTTCTCGATGAAATTCTAGCTACTTTGGATCGAGATTTGTCCTTGACTATTTTATGTTTCCACCTGTAACCAAAAAAGAAAAAAAAAGATGTAGCGGAGCCAAGTCTCCTTCAATTACGGATTCACGTAGGGTACCTTTCTTTATGACATCATCTATCTGCAAAGTAGTACGGTCAACACCTCATTTCACACACTATTATCAACTCTCCAATTCCATTAAGCGGGAGGGACAACTTGCTTATATTATAAATCTTAAATACAACCTTTAAAATTGTATTCTATTTCCAGATATTATTATTTTTTTGCAAGTTGTTTTAAACTTGTACAATCATTTTATAGTAGAGTCAAGTCTTAAATTATATTTTTTGGAATTCAATGCTTCCTTCAATTTACTTTACTTTATGAATGTGTATTGCAGTTTCCACGAAATTGTGTCTCTCTCTGGAACAGCCTATATAACAGCGAATTGAATTGCTATTCCTCAACTTCAGGTTCTCCTCAAATCTCTCTTCTTTCCTCTTTATTTCTGAATCCACTCTTCAATTTTTAAATATTCAAACACAGTTGCTCCACACCTCCAACGCCATCATTCGGCAATTCCTTTTTTTCTTCTTTTATTTTGTAATGAAAATTGTTTGTCATACCTGAGATGAGATTTTCTTTCACTTATTTTTATTTATCGAATTTTTCATTTCATAAAGTAGCTGGAAAATCAAAGTAAGTGGTTACTCAAACACTTTTAACTGTTTATATGAAATTTAATCTGATGCACTCCATAGAAATACAATTTCTTTTCATTATTGTTTTCTGATTCACTTTAAATAGATTTCATTAGCTATATCAAAAAATTAGTATGCATTAAACTCATGAGTGCATTAAATATTAATAATAAATATCCGTAGAAATGTTAAACGGGAGAAGGAACGAGTATTCATTTGCAGGACTACCTTGTCCCGTAGCCATTTGCAGGAACGAGTAGTTTTCAATTCATTAATACTAATAAATATCCATTTGCATTAATGATAAACTTATGAAGGAACTTACTTAAAAACTATGTAATTTATGAAATAATTAGTTTGCAACAATGCGGATCCAAAACTCTGTCTAAAACTTAAGTTTTAGTAGTCTTATCCTCCCGCAAACTATGTGGAAAGATCTGCATTTTATAGGAAATCAACTTTTGAAGCTTGGTGTCTTACTTTATGATATTCTTTCTCAGGATTTTTAAGTTTGACTTCTATTGTTGTGATTGTTGTTATCTGGTTTGGTAAGTGTACCAAATCGTATAAGTAGTTCAATGAAAGTATGAGTATCGTCTCCTAATAGACTTGCGCAACACAATAAGAGTTTGATTTGCTGCAGTAAATAATGTAAACAAGCAATAACAATTCTTTTTGGTATTTTGGTAAACACTTAGAGTGCAAAACTTGATTCTAATGCAATATTAATAAATTGTTGGGGTTTGACTTCACTAAACCTTCCTCTCATGCTTATCACTAAGTTCACAATAGTTATTATTCAGAATTTATCAATCACTCTCAAAAGTAACCAACCCTAATCTCTTACAAGTTGGCATCTAAGTTGCTAACTTAAACTATCAATTTCTTGCATAGTTTAACCAAGAAACCAGCTTTAAAAATAAGAGCTTAAGAAAGACTAATGGCATTTACTCTGTCTCTAGCAATAAGCACCATTAGCTGCTCTATTTCAAGTCAAAGGTTTAAAATCATTTCTCAATCTCTTAAAATCCTTAAGTTCAAGTTAAGGGTGGTCAAGCCATAACAAGCATTATGCACAGAAAAAGAGCAATAAAACTGAATAACAACTTAGATTGATAGCTTAGAGTTTACACATGAGAATGAGTTTAGTTACATCAAACTCCAACAAGGGTGAGTTTAGCTACACATAGACATGTAGAACTCTACAAAATGATGAAGAAAGGAAGAAGCTTGATCTTGCAGGTTCCAGAGCTCTCCAGCCGCCACACACACTCCAAGAATGATCCTCCTTGCTTCTATCTTCGAAAATCCCACTTTTAGGTCATAAAAGATTTTGTCTTATGTGAATAATGACATGTCAGCACAATCCACGCTAAGCGTGAGAGCCACGCTAAGCTTGGGTATAGATTTGGAGTGAAATGAAGTTCTAGGACTCCCACGCTCAGCATCAGTTCCACGCTCAGTGTGGAGATCAAAATTCTGTTCTAGGGATTCTCTACTATGCTGAGGCTAAGCGTGGATCTGGGGCTTAGCCTGGAGACTTAACCAAAAATTCCTTCAACTTCAAATTCACCACTTTGTGCTTGACTTCCTTCCTTCTTTCCTAGCTTTCTCCTAAACTACAAAACAACAACCAAATACTTGTAAGTTACCTAAAAACATGATTCAAAAACAAAATGTGATCACCTAACAATTTAGATATGTTTTGAGTTAAAAACAAAGTCTAAAGCAAGGAAAATTGATATAAGTGCTTCAAACTAGGCCATAAACTTAGTGAAATCATAACACTTATCAATTGTAATTTTAATGATAAAATAGGACGAATCCTTTGTTACTTGAACTTTTGAACCTTAAGTTTGAGATAATTTTCAGTCCTAGAAAACTGCAATGTTAAGGAATTTGCTAAATTCTTAGAAGGAACTAATCTTCACGGAAAATATTGTCCTAAGCAACAATATTTAACCCTATAGTTATTTATTATGAATAGAATACCTATTCCCAAGTTGTGGTTCAGAGGTGAGGTTCTGATCTCGTTAGCAAGTTTTGGAGACCAGATCTATCTACTAATTTCCTCTTTATTTCTTATATCTCTCCAACAATTTTGAAACAAAACTTGAGATATTCAAACAGAGTTGCAGCATTAATCAGCAATCACAACCACCAGCTGCTGGGAGGACATTATTTGGTAATCCCATTTTTTTTCTTTGGTTTTGTAGTGGTTTATGATCATACTTTAGATTTTCATTAGCTTCTTTTTATTTTATTTTACTTTATTTATCAATTTTTTGCTTTTGATATTAGTTGGATACACGGTAGATTGGAAATCAGAGTTAATGGTGCTGTAAATAGTTACTTGCATATATTTTTTAATAAATAATTCTTATCTACTTTTTAAAGATTTTTTTTTTACTTGATCAAAAAAAAAAGATTTTTTTTATAAAGTTTAACAAATAGACTCATTATACAATTATTAAGTCAAACATAGGTACAAATTCTTCCTATATCATATAATAGGACCATATGATGCATAAATATTTAAAATTAATTGTGTGTTTAGGAAATAAATCATGGGTCGGCGGAAAGGTGATCCAAAGTACACGAATGAAGTCATCATCATCGAAAAAAACAAGAGATGGAAGTGTAAGCATTGTAATTGTGAATTTAGTGGAGGTTTTTCAAGAATTAAAGCACATTTAGAGAAAACACCAGGGAAAGGCATTGCTGTATGCTCAGTTTATTGTGGCAACGAAGCAAGGCAAAACATCATTGGTTCCTCTTCAATGGATCCACAAGGAGCATGAAATCCATTACAAGGTAAGTCATATGTACTTAACATCTTTTAGATATGAATTGAAACGATGACTTTTACTTTTTCCACGCTTCGTAAGCTTCTCTAAATACAGATTTTTATTCTTTTTGTCCTAATATCTTTTAGTTGGTAATCATCTATTTCCTTTACTTAACTTTCATTGTTTAATTGGAAGAGTAAACTTCAATACGGAAAATTTGACAAAAATATCTTTAAAATATAAAGAGTTATAGTTACGAGGTAAACTTTAGATAGAAAGTACAAAAATGTAGTTTGAATAATGTTAATTAAATATAGCTGAGAGTAGTATTTGAGATGATAACTTAATTATTATTAATAATATTATACAAAATTATTATTTTTATATATGTAATTACTTTTCTTAAAATTATACAATATTTTTAAAATCATAATACAACATTAATATTTAGGTTTAAAAAATATAATTTTTTAAAATTATAATTATTATTCAAACATTTGTCTTTAAAAATATTTAAATAATAAAATTTTATTTTAATAGTTTAGTTAATAATATACTTTAAATTTACATATCAAAATTATAAGATAAAATGTTGAATGTAAATTTATAATATATATTATATACATTATTATATAATATAATATTGTAGATATTATCATATAAATATTATTACATAACATATATTATTATATATTTTATAGATTAAAATTTAATACTATATGTTATATTTATTATATAATTTGTAATTTATATAATATAATATAATATTATACAATATTACAATAATGTATATAGAAAATGTCAAAGTAGAGGGAGAAAATTTATCTTATACTGTTGTTTCCTAACAAAACCTTCTCTCACGATAAAATAAAAAAAATATACTAAACTAATATAATATGATAAAAAATATAATAAAATTATCATATTTTACTGACATAATAAAAAATAGATTATAGCATAATATTAGTAATTATCCTATCATATATTGAGTGAAACACCATTAAAATTCTTAAAAGCATATGTTACTGACACTTTAGTCCCTAGAAATATAAAAACTCATAGAGTTCATGAAAGTGTAAACATGTGTCCAAAATTATCACTGTTAAATTACTAGTTAAAATAAATTGTGAAATATTAAAAGTGGTGATAAATTAAAAGTTTTAATAAAGTATGTGGATAAGCATATATAATATTTTAATCATGATTAGTTATTTATATATTTTTTAAATAATTTTATTCTTAAATTTTTAAATGATAAATCTATTAAATATTTATGATTTTTTAAAAATATTTTTATTAAATAAAATATAAAATATGAAGTGATATTATAATAGTGATATAATAATAACATTTGTGTATGTGCTGATATTTATCTTCTCTACTATTGATGAATAAATATTTCCTTGATTACCAGCTTTGTTATTTTTAAATTTTTAAATAATAAAAAATAATATTATAAATTAATCATTTTTATAAAGATCAGATTAAACTCAATGCCTTTAAATTTGAAAATCAAATATAACGTGAATTAACCTATTAAATATTAATAATTTTTAAATATTTTTATTAAATAAAATATAAAAGTTATACTAATTATATAATAATAACATTTGTGTGTATGTGCTGATATTTATCTTCTCTACTATTGATGAACAAATATTTCCTTGATTACTAGCTTTGTTATTTTTCACCTTTGGGATAGTAAGTTATTCCTATACTTTGCTTTACCTTTTTTTCGTTGAAGTTTAAAAATGATGAGAATTTTCTTAATGTATCCCATGTTGCATTGAAGTGGCGGAAGGTGATCACCAAATGATTGACACTTTTGGTAACGATCAAATAAATGTAGAATCAACATCTTTACTCGGAGGTATATATGCATCCTATTCCTACTTACCGTGTTCTTTTCTTTCTCTTCACATTTGTGCTTTTAGTCATAAACTTTTTATTTTTCAGTCATAAATTTCATTATGAGTGTGGGTCTGCGTCAGAGAAGAACTTCATATGAAACTTTTTCCAATCATTACTTTGAGAAATATTTACTGGCACACATTTTTACGCTTTTTTTAACACATTTTTTTACTTATATTTGAAACCATATATTGTGAATCTCACTTTGCATGTATTTAGTCATCTCACTTATAATTTTTCATTTTTAATAAATTTTAACTAATAATAATCATATGGTGAAGTATATAATTTATTGTAAGTATACAGGTTTATTCAATAATCAGTTTTATTACTTGACACAATAAAGGTTTTGACTCTAAATTTTAAACTAAGTACATTTTTATTATATTTGTTACGGTTGGCATGATATGAAAAAGTAAATTGATGAGATTTGAGTATATATAATTTTTAATGAAGCAATGACAAAAACAATGCATAGAGGTTTTGTAGCAGGTGAGAGTGAAGTGAGTGGAAGCAGCGATGATTGCGAACGTGATTTAAATGTGTTGGTTTGCGATCTAACAAGAGAGGAAGAAGACATTAAGGGTCAATTACAATGGTTGGAGTCACGGGGCAAGAAGCCAAAGAGTCGAGTTGACCATTGGTTGAATGAACTACAGGACCTCAAAACAAGAGCAGATCATGACATGCAGCAGTTAGGATCGATTAAAATACAGGATTTGGGGGGAGTGGGGAAAACATTCCTAGCAACTTATATGGAGAATGAGATCAAAAGAAAGAAAAGTTTCAAGCATGTCTTCTGGGTCACTGTTTCCCATGATTTCACCATTCTCAAATTGCAACACCACATTGCGGAAACAATGGGGGTAAAGCTTTACGGAGATGATGAGAGAAGTAGAGCAACAATTTTGGCATCTGAGTTGGAGAAAATAGAAAATTCAGTACTTATTTTGGATGATGTTTGGAAATATATTGATCTAGAGAAAGTCAGAATTCCTCTCAGAATGAATGGCATCAAATTGATTATCACAAGTCGTTTGAAACATGTGTGTCAACAGATGGATTGTTTGCAACATCATATGATAACAGTGTATCCTTTAAATGGAAATTTTGAGAAAGATATGGATTGGGAGTTATTTTTGCTAAAATTAGGACACCATGGAATACCTGCAACGCTTCCCCCTGAAGTAGAAAAGATTGCAAGATCCGTTGTAAAGAAGTGCGATGGTTTACCACTTGCAAATCAGTGTGATGGCTAGAAGCATGAAGGGGCACGATGACATTCATTGGTGGAAGCATGCATTGTATAAAGTTGAAAATTTTGAAATGGGAGAAGAGGTGAAAACTGTACTAAAGCGTAGCTATGATAATTTTATTGACAAGGACTTGCAAAATTGGTTCTTATACTGTGCACTATTACCTCATGGTAATAAAGAGAATTGGGTTAAAAAGCTTGTTGACAGGGGACTATTGAATGGAAAGAGGAGTTTGGAGGAAATGATTGATGAGGGGTATGTGATACTAGATAAACTCATAAACCATTCTTTGTTGTTGCAGGATGGGTTGAATCCAAGAATGCATGATCTGGTGAGGAACATGGCATGCGATATAATGAAACACAAGTACATGGTAAAAATTAACAAAAAATTGGAAAAGATACCTGACATGCGGGAATGGAGAGATGATTTGGAGGCAGTTTCTTTGACGTTGAACGAAATAGAAGAAATTCCAGAGGGTGCATTGCCTAAATGTCCACGCTTGTCCACCCTAATTTTATCTTATAATCCCATCGGTCATATTCCAGACTCTTTTTTTACACACATGAATGCTCTGGCAGTTCTTGATCTATCATATAATACAAAATTAATATCATTACCGAATTCGCTGTCTAACCTGAGGTCTCTTATTTCTTTAGTGCTTAGAAGATGTGAAAATTTAAAAAATATACCTCCACTGGAGAAGCTACAAGCATTGTCAACATTAGTCATTTCATGGTGTCCCATCGACCAAGTACCGCAAGGCTTGGAAAATCTAGTAAATTTGAAATGCCTTGATTTGTCCCAGAATCGTTTTATACCATTACCAGTAGCAGAAGGTGTACTATCTCGTTTGACCAATATGCAATATTTGGATCTCAGCAGTTGTTCGATTAAAAAAGTAGAAGATGCAAAAGGGATGACTATGCTTGAATGTTTTCAAGGAGGCTTTCTGGACCGGGATAACCACAATCATTATGTCCAACAAATCTTTAACAACGGTTATGGACCTAAAACTTATCGTATTTATTTTGGAAAGTGCGACTACTACTGGTACCAAGAAGAAATTTTCCAAGAGTTTAATTTTCGAAGATTATTGTTTACAGACTGCACAGAAAAACCCTATTTACTGCCAAGAGACCTTGTGGATTTGAATGTATATCACAATAATCAATGGGAATACTTATGTGCTGCTTTGTCGTCTAAGGATCCTTCGTCTTTCAAAAAAATTTCCATTAAAGACTGCACAAAACTGAAGAGCTTGTTTTGTTTTAGTCTTTGTTCCTCGTGTAAGTTTATCCAAACGGCCATTTGCAAAGAATATGTTGCTGATTTTCACATGCTTACTCCTCAGACTCGGACAGAGGTGTTCCGTCATGTCGTGCATTTTGAAATCTCAGAATGCCATAAAATAGAGACGTTGCTGACATTAGAGTTAGTGCCATCACTTGCAAAGTTGGTGAAAATTCAAGTATGGGATTGTGATTCAATGAAGGAGATATTTGCAGCGAGTAACAGAGGTGTTGGTAGTATTACACTCCCCAAGTTGACCACACTGTATTTGTTTGATCTACCACAGTTGCATACAGTGTATGAAGGAGTTTTAGTCTGTGCATCTCAGAAAGTATTGAAGTCTTATTACTGTCCCATTTTAGAAAGGTTGCCTGAAATACAACTCCTGTGATTCACTCTGCTAATTTCTTATTCTGATTCTACTTTTACATTCATTATTATTATTATCGTAATTGGTAATTGGTTTAAGCAAGAATATATTTCCCTTTCGGATAAATAAATCTTGTCTTACAAATGGATGACTAATTCAATTTTATCATTCTTTCAAATCAAAGATCGTAAATAAAGAAATTTACGTATTGCTATATTTAAAAACTAAAGTTTTATTCAGCCTTTTTCAAAGATTAGTCCATTGTTCACATGTTGAGGATACTTAAATTTTTGTTCTTCAACCATGTGCTACTGGACCTTTTCTTATATACTTTTTCTTGCCCTGTTATCAAGGATTTCACCTCTTGCAGTTAATAAAATCAATATCATCAATCTAGTTGTTTCTTCTTAGGCCTTTACACTTTCTTATAACACTCTTCGTTGCATACCACAATCTAATTAATTTTTAATAATAAACATTAATACAATGCCACGTTGACAATTTCTCTCATTAATTTATTAATTTCACCAGCACTGTGTATAGGCTGACATGTTTATTCTACGATTGAGAGCGTCTAGATGCAATCCAATGATATATAAAGTGGGGCCAAACCCAAGAGTTCATACTTGAACTAAGTAAACTTGATATTATGACTTACAATCATATTCGTTAGAATTATATTCAGAGGAACTAAGTAGTGTATCAAATGAAATGAAACCCTGCGGTATAACTAGCATTCTTTAATATTGAATGGGTGCAAAAAACATGAAGATCTATTTTGTAGCTATACAACTTCTCATTGAAGTTGTATCATGTTTGATGACATGAGGCTGTAAAATTCCATAAATTTGAAACGAACTTAATTAAAGCCAAATCACCCAACTCTGCATATGATTGAATACTATGTTCATAATCATAATGCACAAAAAATTATATTAGTTTTACAATACATTCCACATCAAACTAGAAGTCATGCGTCTTGGTCTCATTATCTTAGAGAGAAACAATATTTAACTCTGTTGTTTTTTATTAAGTAGATTGTCAATTACATTGTTTTTTGTGAATGCGCGCATACTTTAAGATATAACGTTTTTTTGCTGAGATTGCCAAATCAGGTATATGGAATCAGGATAAATAAAAGAATTTTCATTCCCGCATAATTCCCCATGTGTTGTGTAGAATTAGCTAAACCTTTCTTATATCGTAATGTCAAGTGCCTTTCTTTGTTACACTATTTTAAAAATATATTGAAATAATTCCTGAAACAAGAAATAGATAAAGATCTTAAACATATTGCTGAGTTTACGTTCTCAGATTTGACCTCTTGCCATATATGACCACTTTTTAAAAAGAAACATTAGCTGTTGATATTTAACTTGCTCTCCATTTTGGAAAAGGCCTTTTTGACAGCAAACGCAAGTTATCAATTAGAGAACATTCAATATTATTAAAATAATTTCTTTTGACACCTTTAATCAGTTGTTTAAAATAAAAAATAAATTAAGACTGTTGGAATACAAACAAGTATCACATTGATAAAATAAAAAAAATAACAATTTATAAAACACATATATACTCTAATGATTGATGGTTCTTTTGGGTGATGACTAAAAGCTTAGAAAAATAATTTCAAAAGAGAAAAAGAGTGATCATTAGAGTCTAATTTTGTTGAAGGGCCCAAAACTACAAATCACACATCTAGCTAGTATAAATACTGCATACAAAACTCATACATTGCCTCTCTTACCATTTAAGACTACAGCAAACAGTGTCAAGTGATGGGGTCATTTTATGGTATTTGTTTATTACACAAATATACTCTACAATGATAAGATATTATCCATTTTGGGCTTTAGTTAGCTCTCAGGATTTTGCTTTTGGTCATCACCCAAAAGACTTCTCTATCATTGAAGTATATTTGTATTATATAAGTTGTTATTTCTTGTATTATTTTATCGATGTGGGACTTGTTTGTATCCCAACATCAAGTGTGGTGTCAATTTCAATTTTTGGAACCATTTAACATTTGCGCTGATGATCATTTGCTTAGCAAGAATATGTTTCCCTCCCTTGCTTTCCATGCTTTATACAATAGATTTGTTTGATATATTCTTTTGATAAACCATGAAAGAATTATGAGGACAAGTCCAAGTATAAGGTCAATCAAATCCTTGTTTTAGATCCTTACTACTAGAATTTCTTTTATTACATGCGACTTTTCCTGTTAATTTTTATAAAAATTTTCAGGAAATATTGTTCCTACAAATTTTTCTGTGAAATTTTTTCTGTAGGTAATACCTTCGTGAATAATATGTTTTTGTGAATTTTAAAATTCACAAGAAATTTTACTGCGAAAAAAATTCGCAGGAAAGTTTCCTGCGAATATTTTTGCAAAAAATTCTACAGTAATATTTTTTATGAAAAAAATTAAAGAAATTATTATAAATTATATCAATAATTCTTCAACTTTCAAATGCTCACAATAAATTCATCAGAAGCATTTGTTTTCAAACCTCTAACATGTGATACATAATCTTTTAAATTCTAAGATTGTAGGTTATAAGACTAACACTCCACCACACAAATCAACTTGTAAGGTAAGTGTTGCCCCAACTTAAATACTCTTTAATTATTTTATTTTCAATCGATGTGAGACTTGAAATTTTTTTAAAATATTAAACTTATAAATTTAAATTTTTTTTGATTTTTCCTGCGGATTAAAATTGGCAGGAAAATTCGTAGGAAAAGTTACTTGCAAAATTTTTCTACCATCTAGTAAACATTACTTGCGAATTCATTTTTACAAAAAAATATGCAAGAAACAAAATAAAATTCTTATAATATTTTCTGCAAATTTTTACCATGAAAAAAAATTTCTATGATCATTAAAATTGTAGCAAAATTTACAAAAATTTCTTGTAGATTACTTTTCATAAAAAAATTGTAAGAAATATTTATAAATTATTTTTCGCAAATAAATTCGTAAAAAAATTTTATGAGATTATTATTGCAAGAAAATTTACAAAAATATTCTGCGAATATTTTTTTTAAGAAAACTTGTACAAAAATTACACTGTTTTAGGAGTGCCTCTTAAAAAAGATATATATATATATATATATATATATATATTATTAATATTTATATATTTTTTTATAACTCAAAAATCATTTTTTGTATTTTTAAAATTTCACCCAAAAAGGTCATCTTTAAATAATATGCAAATATAATTACTTTTTTACGAGGCTCATATAAAAAAACATTTTTTTTATCAAAAATATTATTATTAATTTTAAAAAAGTCTTTTTCAGGATTTGTTTTAGGCTAAAAATGTGTTCGATCAATCCCGATAGTATCATTTCAAGTTCATTTATTGGCATGATGACGAATGATTTGAACACTTCTTTTTATGTTATTTTAATATTTTAGTGAACTTAAATAATATTAAAAATGATGGATTTATAAGTATTCACTATAACACGAGAAAAGAAAGACAGAATTTATTGTTTTTCCATGAATTAATTATTATCACCATCGTTGTTGCACTTGAATATACAATTCATGCTCTTATAAACCCATGTTTTAGGTTTAAGGACTTTATTGTTTACCTAAACCTTGATCTAAAACTTGACCAGTAAATTTAAAAATTTCTCAGGTGAAAATAGACCAGTTCTGGATTGGTCTACTAGAGTCAAGGTTGCTGCTGGTGCAGCTCGTGGAATAGCTTACCTGCATGAAGACTGTAAGTTTCTTCTTTTCCATATTATTCTCATGTGTATAATTATAAACTGAAGACACTGTATATCCATAGTACTACATGTTCTTTTTATGTTTGGAGTTGGAGACATTCTTTTAAGTACATATTTTTCTTTAAACTAAGTGCACCAAGTTCTTTAGAAATTTTGCAACCACAATAAAGATGCTAACATCAGACATGGTTGCATTATTGTTGATTGTACATTCACAATTACTTATGTTTTTACACTATCTTTTTTGGATTTTATAGCATATTACACTGTTTATCTTCTTATTTCGTTTTAATTATTTTATCAGGCCATCCACGCATTATTCATCGAGATATCAAGTCATCAAACATCTTTTATTATCGAGATAGCACTTGACAATGAAGATTTAGAAGTTTTGGTGGATCCAAGACTGGGAAAGAACTATGATAGAAATGAAATGTTTTGGATGATCGAAGCTGTTGCAGCCTGTGTACGCCACTCCTTGGTGAAGAGGCTACGTATGTGTAACGACCCACCTGGCTGTCACATAGCTCACAACAATAACAATACCACGCAGGAAAGAGCATGCATATATATATATATATATATATATACCACTAAATTGTAACGACCCATCTGGCCGTCACACAGCTCAACAACACGACACCACACAGACAAGACCATGCATATATATATATATAAGCAGCTAAAATATACACACAAGGTCTAGCTTGAGAGCTTAAAAATTAGAGTATACAAAATACATCTAGCAATGCTACACTAAGTAGTCAAAACAGCAAAAACATCAAAAATACATCCACTGCATCTGTCAGCTATACACCCACCTCAAGACACTAATCCTAAACCTGCTCTGCTCCTATACACAGTATGATCATTGCAGTTCAAACCACATGGAAACAACAAAGGGTAAGCTAGTAAAAAGAATCAGTATATATAGATATATAAGTACAACAATTAGAAACAACTACAGCTTATCAGCACATCATCTAGTTCAGCAATCATCAGCATACAACTCATCACATATACAACTCACATCATTAAGCAAAAACATCGGTAAACACACAATGCATCGTCAAGCATATCAGCTTGGAGATCTCCTACAACAGCTCAGCCTACAGCCTACAACAGTTTATATCAGCATGCAGCACAGCACAACATAACAACAATAATAGCATATAGCATATGGTACAGCTCATCTTTATACAACATAACTTAAACATCATAATTCAGCAGAAATAACTCACAGCACAACAATATTATTAATCATCTTAACAACATTTATCAATAACAACTCAGCTCAGCAAACATCAACTTATATCATCATATAACAACATACAACAGCATATAAGAAAACACTCATCCGTGCCCGGCGCACTCATGGTCGCGCCCGGCGTGGCCCAACCAGAGAGCACCAAGGCTCAAACCCGCCCGGCACAATTCCAATTGCGCCCGGCGTGCTAGGAGGTAGAGACTCCAAAGAGCCTCACGCGCCCGGTGTGCCAAACCCGCGCTCGGCGCAAGGTAGGCAGAGACCTCCCCAAGGTCTCACGCCCGTTGCAATAACAATTGCGCCCGGTGCCTCCTTTGGCAGAAACTCCCAAGGAGTCTCCACGCCCAGCGAGACAAGGTCAAGCCCGGCGCCACACCAGAATCACAACAAAGTGGGTCACTGACGGATAACGCGCCCAGCGTGGTCCAACCACGCCCGGCGTGAGCCATTCAGGGGCATCCATCATCAAGCTTGCCCGGCGCACACAACCTTGCGCCCAACGGGCTTGACAAATGGAGCCCTCTGATGGTCACGCTCCCGACGTGCTCTCAACCAGAAACCCTTCAACTTCGAAGATTTCTTCAAAATCTGCACAATCAAGTCATCCAAACACATGCAATCGGCCCAAAACTCTACATTTTCACCCAACAATACAAACACCAGCTCATTTTCAGCATGCAACCACAAATCATCAAAATCCCCAAATTTCATCAAAAATCCCGAAACCCCGAAAACCCATTTTCATCATTTCAGCCATCCATCATCAAATCATCCAACCATTTATGAGTTGCTAAACTCATTTTCGTACAGCCAGCATGAATCCTAGCTTCCCTTACCTCGGTGTGAAGATTTCGAGCTCCGGGAAGAAGAAATGGAGAAGAAGCTTGAAAAAGATGGTGAACAGAGAAGGAAGAAAGAAATCCGCGTTCAGCTAAAGCCTCCAACACCACTACTCAGCTCCTAAGATCACCACAGCCACCCAAGATCAGAGAAAAAGAATCATGGAAAAGAGAGGGTAAGGAAATGTGAGTGAGAATTGAGAGTGAAAATGAAGTGAGGGAGAGAGTGAAAGAAGGGTAGCGGGTCTCACAGTATGAGTCAGGTAATTTTATTCTCTTGAACTAGACATGCTGCATGGCATTTAGTGCCTGAAGATATATATTAGATGAGTTTACGGATATCAACAATGGCATGAAACCAGGGCAGAGTTCGATTTTCGATTCTACACAAATCAAAATGTTTAGAAGGATGGCTTTTGGGAGCCAAGATAGTTCATCTTTCTTCAATGAGTCTCAGAGTAGCTGGAGGAGTAGAGATCACGACTCAACAACTAAATTTTTACAAAATAAATCTGGGCCTTGGAATGTTTGAGTTAGATGACTCACTTGCCAATGCATTTCCTTTGTTGTAAATCTCATTTTGCTAACATATTTTGCTTCCTATGCTTTATATTCTTTGTAAATTAGGTTATTTGTTACATAACGCAATGTATTTATACCATCTATGAGTTGTGACCGGCTGATATGAATTCAACACCGCCCTTAGTTCATAGAAGACTGTATTCTAAAATAAAATGTTACTATATATTACTGATTTTAGTGAATTAATCAACGTATAGATGTCCTTTTCCTAAGCTTGTGATTTTCCTTAAGATGGATTTTTTTCTTAGTAATCAACATCATATTTGTTAAAAAAAATATCCTTCGATTAATTCATATACATGTATCTATAGTACAATCAAATCACTGAAGAATACTATAGAATGGATGAAAAATCTTGTACATATATAAATTAGTTTCTCATCGATCATGTGTGGAGATTATTGCACTTGATTATGAAAAAAGAAAATTATGGAATTATATTAAAACTCGGTATATGTATTTGCATGTAATATTTATATTTACTAATAATAAGTTTTTAAATAAAAATTTAATTTCAAATCTTAAAAATTTAACTTGTAAGATAGAAAAGTTAATACTACAAATATTCACTAACTTTTTTATATTTATATATTATTATTTTTTTATTTTATATCTTTTACTTATATACTGAAAATTTATTTGTTAAGTCAAGTCTCTCCCAGACAGAATTCTAGTTACTTTTACTTCAAATCTTTTATTTATTTTTATTCTTTTTTTATGTTTCTATCATATGTAATAATAATAATTAAAAAAGAAAAAGGTTGAGTGGGGTCAAGTCTCCTTCAATCACGCGTTTATGTAGGATACCTTTCTTCATGACATTTCCTGCAAAGTAGTACGGTCAACACCTCATTTCACACACTATTATCAACTCTTCAATTCCATTAAGCGGGAGGGACAACTTGCTTGTATTATAAATCTTAAATGCAATCTTTAAAATTGTATTCTATTTCCAGATTTTTTTTTTCAAGTTGTTTTCAACTTGTACAATCACTTTTTAGTAGACTCAAGCATTAAATTCATATTTCTTTTTAAATAAAGTTTTGTTACAAATAAATGAATTTTGATGCTAATTCTATTTTTTGGAGTTCAATGCTTCCTTCGATTTAAGTATTACTAGTACAAGTTAATGGAATCTGAGAAGATATGTTTAACAATTGAAGTCATGATTGTCCTCAACTTTTGAATTTACTTTACTTTATGAATGTGTATTGCACTTTCCAGGAAATTGTATCTTTCTCTGGAATAGCCTATATAACAGAGTGAATTGAATTGCTATTCCTTCAGGTTATCCTCAAATCTCTCTTCTTTCCTCTTTATTTCTGAATCCACTCTTCAATTTTTAAATATTCAAACACAGTGCTCCACACCTCCAACGCTATCATTCGGTAATTTCTTTTTTTCTTCTTTTATGTTGTAATGAAAATTGCTTGTCATACCTGAGATGAGATTTTCTTTCACTTATTTTTATTTATCGAATTTTTCATTTCATAAAGTAGCTGAAAAATCAAAGTAAATAGTTGCTCAAACACTTTTAACTGTTTATATGAAATTTAATCTGATTCACTCCATAAAAATACAATTTCTTTTCATTGTTTTCTAATTCACTTTAAATAGATTTCATTAACTATATAAAGAAAATTAGTATTCATTAAACTCATGAGTGCATTAAATATTAATAATAAACTTATGAAGGAACTTAACTTAAAAACTATGTAATTTATGAAATAATTAGTTTGCAAACAGTGCGGACCCAAAACTCTGTTTAAAACTCAAGTTTTAGTAGTCTTATCCTTCCGCAAACTACCGTAAAGAAATCAACTTTTGAAGCTTGGTGTCTTACTTTTATGATACATTGCTAAGGAATTTGCTAAATTCTTAGAAGGAACTAATCTTCACGGAAAATATGCATTGGTCTTATTGTCTCTAAGCAACAATATTTAACCCTATGGTTCTTTAATCTGAATAGAATACCTATTCCCAAGTTTTGGTTCAGAAGTGAGGTTCTGATCTCGCTAGCAAGTTTTGGAAACCAGATCTATCTACTAATTTCCTCTTTATTTCTCATATCTCTCCAACAATTTTGAAATTTTTTTTTTGAGATATTCAAACAGAGTTGCAGTATTAATCAGCAATCACAACCACCAGCTGCTGGGAGGACATTATTTGGTAATCGCATTTTTTTTTCTTTGGTTTTGTAGTATTTTATGATCATACTTTAGATTTTCATCAGCTTCTTTTTATTTTATTTTACTTTATTTATCAATTTTTTGCTTTTGATATTAGTTGGATACGGTAAATTGGAAATCAAAGTTAATGGTGCTGTAAATAGTTACTTAAATACTTACAGTTTAGAATCTCATGAATTATCCAAATCCTAATCTGGTGTTTAAATTATTTTTGCAGTTATATGACTTTATATCCTATATATCAAGAAAAATATTCGGTTAGTTATATAATACTAATTAAACTGAGTTTTACAATCCTTTAGACCATAATAATTTGTCTGTATGATAACAAGAATAAAATAATTAATTATATATTATAGGACAAAAAAAATTAATTAAGCCTTAAAAATATGTGTCAATAATATACAAAAACATTCAATACACTAATTCATTTATTATAAAAATTAAGAGGACTTAAAATGTTGGTTGTGTAATTAGACTGCAATATCATGTGAAGTTTTATTTTTTATTTTTTGTTGAAAAGGACATTTATTGGAAGGGACTAAAACCCTCTAGAGAAAGAAATACAGGTAGAGTTTGCCCTGAAGGCATTATAAATATAAGATGGAGCAACATGAAACAGAAAGACAAAATTGACATGACATCCCATACTTTACTAATGCATCAACAACAACTTACTTAGATTCACTGTAGTTAGTATATATGAATCCAACTTACCTCCCTCATTTTTTGTGGATACTATTAACATTTGACACCAAATTGTAACATGTGTATGCGTACTACAGCAACAACCATGGTTTAACTTACCATATTAATGGCAAGCATAGAAATAGAGTAAATCACTACTTTTCGAGAGCCTCGGCTCCAGTAATTGGTGTTAAAAATTTGATCATTTCTACCCCACTATATATGATAACACCAAATCGAACTTTCATTAAACTCCATCAACAGTAATTGGATTTATTAAATGTATTTTTCTAAAGTATTAGCTTTTGTAAAGATAAATTATGCTTATATTTTTTAATAAATAATTCTTATCTACTTTTTAAATATTTTATTTTTATTTTTATGAAGTTTAAGAAATAGACTCATTATACGATTAAGTCAAACACAAATACAAGTTGTTCCTATATCATATAATAGGACCATATGATGCATAAATATTTAAAATTAGTTGTGTGTTTAGGAAATAAATCATGGGTCGACGGAAAGGTGATCCAAAGTACACGAATGAAGTCATCATCATTGAAGAAAACAAGAGGTGGAAGTGTAAGCATTGTAATTCTGAATTTAGTGGAGGTTTTTCAAGAATTAAAGCACATTTAGACAAAACACCAGGGAAAGGCATTGCTATATGCTCAGTTTATTGTGGCAACGAAGCAAGGCAAAACATCATTGGTTCCTCTTCAATGGATCCACAGGGTGCATTGAATCCATTACAAGGTAAGTAATATGTACTTAACATTTTTTAGATATGAATTGAAATGATGACTTTTATTTTTTTTACGCTTCTTAAACTTCTCTAAATAAAGATTTGCATTTTTTTTATCCTATTTAAATGTTGAATATCTTCTAATTGGTAATCATCTTTTTCCTTTACTCAATTTTCATAGTTTAATTGGAAGAGTAAACTTTAATACGAAAAATACGACAAAAATATCCTTTAAATATAAAAAGTTATAGTTACACAACAAAATTAAGATGATAAAACTTACAAAATGTAGTTTAAATAATGTTAATTGAATATAAGTTCAATCATATATTTATATTTGATCTTATATATAAAGTTTCTTTTTAGATAAGTCCAGAATATAGTCTATTCAAACTTCTTAAATGTATTAAATTAGTTACTAATTTTTATCTTTATAAAATAAATACTCTTTTCAATATAATTTATTCAAACTTTAAATAACTTGATATAAAACAAATTATTATCATTTGTACCAACATAATTAATATACATATTAAATTAATATAAGCATCAATCACAAAATATCTAATACACGGAAAAGAAAAAAACACAAGATATCTAAATTAAAAGAATAAATAAGTGTGAAAGTGAATAAGAAAAAGTTCAACAACTAAAAATTCAAAATGAATTTTAAATGAAGTAAAAGCAGCTCCATATATATTCTATAATTTTTCCTAGTTGAACCTAATTCTATTTTGGTAACCAAACATCCTAATATTTAGTTAAAACATGTTTGAGTTATCATAATCCACGATGGTTTGACTGCCAACACTACAAAAAAATGTGCGATTTGTGGCGGTTACTTTGACGGTTCCACAAATGGTATTACCAGCGTCATTAATGACCGCCGGATCCACAGTCGCCAAAAATGGGTTGTGGCGTATACTTTGTAAACGCTGGTGTTGTAGGTCAGAAAATTCAATCACTTTGTGGCGGTTTTAGACCGCTATAAAATGCATTTTAATGTTACTTGTTTTACGGTTTCTGAGGGTTTAAAACCGCTACAAAATTCATCTAAATTTTTCATGATTTAACATTTCTGGCGGTTTTAAACCGCCACAAAATTGCATTTTTTTTTTCCTCACATTTTCTGATAACAGTTTAATGTCATTCTACATTATATCAATACATTTTTCTTATTTTAAAAAATAGATTAAAAATTATTTTAAAAACACATTCATATTATAAATTGAGAAATAATAATCTATAGGTATTTATCAAATTATTATTTAAAATTGTTACTAATTATATTAATAATTTAAAATTAATAATGACTATATTATATTATTATTTAATTCAAGTAACTCTTAAATAACAATTTTACTAATTTTGATATAAAACCAAAAAGATGAATTTATTTTAATGTCTACTAAAGATGAATTTTGATAATGAATCATGTTTCCATGGTTCACTTCGTCCTAAATGTTCAAAGCAACATTTGAAACTCAAAAGAATTGACTCATTACACATATTGAAGAAAAGAATGTTTAAAAAAGTGGCTCTTACTGTTGGTGCACCTTTGCAAGGCTGTGACAAAGAATAAGAGGAAAATCAGAAAGTTATTATTTAAGACTTCAAAATAACCAAAACCAAGTTTTGAAAAAATTACATTTAACTTGTTCTTTTTACATGATGCTGCCCACCGTTTGCAACCAATGTTTTGGATCTGGAAATGTTTTGAAAAAACAAGCCAATGTTGTGACACATCATGTTTCCTACAACTCCATGAGCTGCTATGAGCAACAACCCTTAAGTCACCAACATCGCAGAAACTAAATCTAGAAGGTCAACAAGGCAGGGTGAGAAAGAGACTAAGAGAATATGGGAGCTTCTTATGCTTTAGTTTACTTTAGTTTATTTACTCTACACTAGGCAGTGCACTGATCAAACAGTGAAAATCTTCCTAACCTTTTTCATGTTCCTACGACAAACAGGGCAAGTACCAGCTACCTCGGCTATCCTGCATTGATAAGGTTGGAAATACATCACCACACAAGAATAAACATTAAATAATGCATTGAGATGCATGCCACTGAAGCTGTCAGTTATGGAATAAAGATGGTTGATATATAGACTTGCAATGTGGATCAACACGTTTTAATTTTGCATGTCCAAAATTATCTCAAATAAATGGGAACCAATTTCTTGAGAAATTATACTTGTTCAAAATTATTTCAGTTTGAATTTAGGACAATGACAACACCCAAACAACAGACCAAACTGAAAAGATCAACCTTGAAGACCACCTCCATATTAATACATATTTTTATAATTAAAGGGTAAAAACCAGGTGCATATCATGCTAAGCATTAGCAACAAAATTCAACAATAATCTAAGAACACCTCCATTTTTTTGCTATAAACTACAATTTTTAATGCAGAAAAATTACTGATATTTTAGCTTATTCTAGACATAAAACAACATTATTTCTGACTTAAAAACCACCAGTACCACCTCAAATATCAATAATATAGGGATCTCACTTGACCGACAATCAAATACGATCAAACATCCCCAAAATCTACCAAAGATTTAAACAGAGTCTTGTATGCTGGGTTTCTCTCACCTGCAAGATTAATCAAACTGATTTAATTTCCCAATATGCTTCAACAATTTCCTATTATACTTTAAATTTAGCGTCTCATCATTTAAAGACATATCAAGCTATGAGCTATCAACCGATACCATATCATGTACATAGCTTGTTAGCTTTATGTCATCAAGTGCATGACAATATACTAAATCTTGATTAAATTTCTTCATCAAATTCTCAATATTTTGGTCATTGTGACAGGAACTCTTTCCAAGACGATGCAAGAAAGTCTCATAACAAGCATTGTGAAAGGTCATATACCATCCGTTTGCAACAATAAATCAAACTTCATTAACACTCCACTAAGTGACAATCTTTACTCTTTAGCATCCATAACTAAGTTAAACAAAATATTCTCAAAACTAATTTAATTAATTTCAACTTGCTGAAAAAAGTAAATTCACCAATACACCATAATATCAACTAAATTCTAGTAGGACTCAGCATATTCATCCCTGTTATTTCAATTTTCTTGGTGCATAAATTTTTTAGAACTGTCAAAGGAGCAATATCTACATGATATTTCCCTCAAAATAATTTGTTTTCAATTCAGTCATGAATAATTTAATTATAAGCAAGATAATGACGATGAGAAGCAACACCACATTAGCAAAAAATTAAAAAAGAATCAATAATTTTCATTAATTAACGAAACAAAAGTTAAGTTATTAGAAGGGAAAGGTCCCAGAAACTAAGTCAAGTTCAAAGAACAAATATTCTTAAATCGAATCTGGATTTCAACCAAAACACCAATAAGCACGCACACTCATTATTCCAGTTCACATTAAGTTAAAACCCTAAGGCAAATAAATAAATAAATAAAAACTCAGCAAGAAAATTCACCATGCTGTGAAGCTCCTCGAAAGGCTCCGCGACTTCTAGATTCCGGAACCCGTCGAAGACCTTGGCTAATCAAGCTTCGAGCGTCGAAGATCCAGATTGAGAATTCAAAATCTTGGTGTAATCAGCTCTTGTTGAGCTTCAAAAGTTCAAGATTGAGATCGAGGAACTGAACGAAGTTTGCGGAAATGAGGGTTTTGCGAAAATCGAAAGCAAAAAGTTGAAATTGAAATGTACCAGGCTTGCTAGAAGCTGGCGTGTGCTTCAGTTTCGCCATGGGATTCAGTGGAAGAAGAAAACTAAACGAAACGAAGCTTCACTCTCTTCCGAATTGGTTTTCTTCCCAAAGTACCCTGCATACTTACCGTTACTTGCCGGATTTCGTTTTAAAAATGTTTTCTTTTAAGTTTAATTTTAATAAAAAAATTACTAAACGTTCTGGCGGTTTAAAACCGCCAGAAAGTGCCAACACTTGTAATGTTTACATTCTTGCGGTTTAAAACCGCCAGAAAGTGTCAATAATTTGTACATTAGTAACATTTTTTGGCGGTTTATGGAAACCGCAAAAAAAAACCGCCAATAATTACCTATTTTTTTTGTAGTGCAAACCAAATATGTTGTTATGCCTGTTGTGACTGTGACTGTGAGTTGGGTCTGCCAAATCCACGTCAGAGGAGATGGGATGGAATCAAGATGCCTAACTTTTTTTCCTTTACAATAAACTTTATTATCGTCTTTGTGGCATCATAACATTACTATTTTACATATTATTTTCTTCATTTTTGTTGAACTTCTAAAATATGACTCAATTTTTTCTTATCTATCTCTTGTTGCATTGTTGAAGTAAATGAAGGTTTTCGCCAAATGTTGGACCCCGTTGTTGGTGATTCACTTCCCCGTCAAATTAATATTTTCGGAGGTACTCATCCTCGTTACCTATTTATTGTGTTGTTTCCTTTTTCTTTTAATTTTATTTTATACATATGCCTTTTATTGATGATATAACAGTTTTATTTTTAATTCTAATACATCAGTTTTATTATTTCCAACAATTAGAATCTCTAAAGCTATATTTTTTTTCTTAAATATAACTTTAGTCCTAATAAAATGAACGGGTTTTAATTTTGATTCTTGCAATTTATTTATTTATTTAAGGGAATCGAATTCAATATTACTCGAACCAACATGGAACCACTCTATTGAAACTTAGTTGATTATCTTTAGTGAAATCTCTTTTTAATTTTATTTTTTTTCCTTTTACAAGAAAATACTTAAAAATAAAAAGAAAGTATATTTAAGAAATTATGTTTTTGACTGTTTTTAATTAATTTTAAACTTGTAATTTTTGTTTAAATATCAAATATTTTATTGAAAATTAAAATAAATAGTATAATAATCAATCCCTATATATTAAATGCAAATAACAATCTTGCATGAGAGCGAGATTATTAATTGGCGAGAATGTTTCTAAAAATTCTTTTAACTTCTTATCTTATTCATCTTTTATTTATCATATTTATTTATTAATTAAATCCTATACATTAAACGAGAATGACTATATTGAATGAAAGGGTTTTTATGGACTATTTTTCGATGGAGCACTTTTAGGAATTATTTTAATTTTTTTTTATCTAATTTAATTTTTTATTTATAAATTAAAATTTAACATTTTAAAAATAAATTATTAATACTTAAATACAGTCTTCTGTCATAATATAAATTATGTATTTTAAAATAAAAATATAATTTATATATTTAAAAATGTCTACTTATACACAAATTTTAAATATAATTTCTATATTCAAAATAGTGATTATTTATATATATAATTTAGACTCAAATATGTTCTTAGTCACTGCAAAACAAGTAGTTTTTTTTTGGTCCCTATAAAAAGTCTTCATTATTTTTCATCCTCTAAAATTTAGAATTATTATTTTTAGTCTCAATTATTATGTATTCATTTTTAACTACTTATTTGTTTATTAAAGAGTTATGTGACTATCTCTAAAATTTTGTATATTTCTTTAAAATAATTATTTTTATCTATCTTAAAATCAATGATAGGGATCAAAAATTATGATTTTAGATTTTAGAAGAATGATATTCAAATAAAAATATTGTACAAAGATTAAAATCAAAATTTACTTATTTTGCAAGGCTCAAAAATATTTTATGAAGACCAAAATTAATATTTAAAAATCTTAAAAAGATGAAAGATGAAGAAATGTTTTTACATGGACTAAAATTAAAAATCATCCATTTTGCAAAAACAAAAAAATATATTTAAACCTATAATTTATTATAAAATATATTTATATATAAGAAATATTTAGCATATAAATTATCACTGTTAAATTACTAGTTAAAATAAATAGTAAAATATTAAAAGTGGTGATAAATGAAAAGTTTTAATAAAGTATGAGGATAAACATATATAATATTTTAGTCATAACTAGTTATTTATAAGATTGTCTCATTTGGTGTATATATTTTTTAAACAATTTAATTCTGAAATTTTTAAATAATAAAAAATAATATTAAAAATTAATCTTTCTTGTAAAGATAAGATTCAAATTCAAGAATTTTAAATTTGAAAATTAAATGTACCGTTAATTAATCTATTAAATATTCATAATTTTTAAATATTTTTATTAAATAAAATATAAAAGTTATACTAATTATATAATAATAACATTTGTGTGTATGTGCTGATATTGTATGTTCTCTACTATTGATGAACAAATATTTCCTTGATTATATAAATATATATATATATATATATAATTTTATTTTTCATTTTGTATTTTTACTTATATAAAAATATTGAAAATTTCTTTGCTAAGTCAAAGCCTCCACCAGATGGAATTCTAACTACTTTGGATCGAGATTTGTCCTCGACTATTTTATGTTTCCACCTGTAACCAAAGAAGAAAAAAAAAGGTGTACCTTTCTTCGTGACATTACATATATAATATTTTAGTCATAACTAGTTATTTATAAGATTGTCTCATTTGGTGTATATATTTTTTAAACAATTTAATTCTTAAATTTTTAAATAATAAAAAATAATATTAAAAAAATTTATTTTAGTCCTTATATTCAAATTTTATTAAGAAATTTTTCAAACATTATTGCATAAAGTCTACCTATTGGTGTTCCTGTTAGTGAAAATATCACATTAAATATGGTTGATATTACATAACTATTTTAATTTGTCATTTTAAATATGTTATTGGTGATCTAAGGAACTAAAACAAAAATTTTGAAAATTATAGGAACTAAAACTAATAGTTTTAAATTTGAGGGATCACAAACAAATTTATTTTAAATTTGAAGGACTAAAAATATATTTAAACCTTATATTATTGATATGAAATATTTATCGATGAAGTTAATGATTAATTCCCGTTAGGGAATTTGGCTAGCCACCTTTAATAAGGTATATCATCTCAATTATGACTTTTTCATATACAAAACTCAAACCTGAAACTTTATTTAAGGGATCAAATTCAATACTATTCAAATCAAATTGGAATCACTCTATCAAAACTTGGTTGATCATCTTTAGTAAAATCTCTCTCTTCAATTTCAAATTTTTTTTTTCCATTTGCAAGAAAATACTTAAAAATAAAAAAAAAGTATATTTAAGGAATTATGCTTTTGAGTGTTTTTAGTTAATTTTAAACTTATAATTTTGTTTAAAGATTAAATATTTTATTGAAAGTTAAAATAAATAGTGTAATAATTAATTCCTATATATTAAATGCAAATAACAATCTTGCATTAGAGTGTTTTAGAGACTATTAATTGGTGAGAATGTTTCTAGAAATTATTTTAACTTCTTATTTTATTTAACTCTTATTTATCATATTTATTTATTTATTTATCATATTTGTCATAATATAAATCATGTATTTTAAATAAAAAAATATAACTTATATGTTTAAAAATGTATACTTACACAAATTTTAAATATAATTTCTATATTCAAAATAATGATTATTTAAAACCAAAACCGTGAGGTCTAAGACCTAAAGCGGACAATATCTCATCATTGTGGAGTATGTTTGTTTAATAACCTTATAAAAATAACTCATAAAATATCCTCCTCTCAATTATTTCATAAAAAATCCCATCAACTTATAAGACAGTAAATTTAATGTTAAAAATATTCACCAACTTATATATATATATATATATATATATATATACTTTTATTTTTT